GCGACTCATTTTGGGGCATGTCCCTTTAAATGCTAATGAGCTCTGCTCACCCTGTTACCCTACTTAAAAAGCTTTTCCCTTTCTTCTGTGGAAGAGCAAAGGCGATTTGGAAATAATCATAAAAAAAAAAAATTACAGGTGTGAGTAGTGAACGTAACAGAATTAAGTACTGAAAACAGGACTAAGAACCATATTCTGCTTCTACTGTGTGGATGTGGCCTATGTGCGGGTGGCATTAGATTCAGGAATCCCAGATATATGCAAATAAGAGCGAAAAACACAGGAGCTGGCCTGTGGTTTAGCCTGCTGTAATATTCCGTGTAATGTGACCATAAATAAATATACCACACTTTCATTCCTTTGGTCTAAAGGTTGCACTTCAATGCAGGAGGTATGTTTATTGAAAATCACTCCTCCGGTGCACAGTCAAGTTGAAGAGCAATTTGTTTTCTCAAGCAGGCATCCAGTAATCACATCCCAGCAGGCCTTGCAGTCTGGTATGCTTGCTTGAGCACCTAGCGTTTTATATGCACAGTGAAAAGTGTATTCACAGCACACCTGTACGGTTTCTAAGTTGCTTTTTAAAATTCATCAAGCTTGGTGAACATGAGGATTAATTAGCTACATAAGTTAGGATCTATTGGGCAATTTTCCCAGCAATCATTCATCACAAACTTGCCTCACTCCTTTGAGAATTCCTGCTCCCAGCATGTGCATCACATAACAACCATGTTTCATATCATGGCAAATTTTCACTATAGGTGTAATTGGACTACATTGTCTTTGGTGCAAAATATCTTTTTTCTATGAAAATGCTTCATAAACATATTTATGATTATGTTTATACAGTAATTTCAAACATAACCTGTTGCAGGCAATTAATTACAGAATTTTCATTTTTGGGTGAACTAACCCTTTAACAACCCATTCGTCTGCATTATGAGTGACTGTAAATAAAATAAAAAAATGTCTCATCTCCTTGCTTTGTGTGCCTGAGATGATTTGAATGAAGTAATATTAATAATTATTTTAGTCAATAGTCATTGTAGTTTCTGATTCGATTACACCATTCACAATGCTTCTTGAATGAATAGTTCATTCACTCATTAAAGTAGTAAAGAACAGCCAAAATCTCAACCAATGTGTGAATGTCCATGAATGCTAAACCTTAAAAACACATAGGCTGGAGGCCTGTGAAGAAGAAATGCTTTTGCGGTGTCTAAACATATCTGAGGAACTAAATTAACTTATTATGAAGTATCTCATATAAGAGAATACTCCAATTAATTCAATTGATTTTATATTATCAGTGTGACAAAAGTAGTAATACCTGATACCAAACGTCATTTTTGATTGATGACTTTGACCTTTGACCTCATAATTATATAAAAAAAAACGAATAAACTATCTTTAACCTACAGCTATATATATATATATATTTGATGTTAAAATTATCTTTACTATTCATATCATTTAAATATTTTAATATCCATTTTAT